CAATCATGCAACGCTGTTGGATAATTTACTGCGGTCAAATTCCTGTTTTTACCCTACTATAGTTGACAAGCTTCTATGTAATTTGTATTGCTGAGTTCAAAATTGACCTTAGTTTTCTTGCGTTGACCCATTATCTTCCCACAAAATGGGGCTTCTAAAAAAAAAATGGAGTTTTTTGTGGGGAAATTCAATTTTGATTCAATTTTTTTGGGAAAACGGTGCATAATATTTAAAATCAAGGCCATTTTCGGATTCAGCAGCTAAAGTAACTTCAAATCAGACTTTAATGGCACCCATCCTTCATTGTAATATTTATTTAAAAAATAAAATAGGAGCGAAAATTTTCAGCTAAGTTCAGATTCAGCTGTTCAGAGTTACAGCTAAAAAAAAAATCTAGTCATATGCTATTAATATTTGATAGCTTGGCCTTGGCTGTAGATAACCTACTGCGGGCGCTTAAGCATGAACCTAACTTTTATTTTCAAGGGATCCATTTCGCATCCAATATGTCCACGTTGTGGCTCACTACACCCCTCAACACTGTTACAGTCAGTGGCGCGACGTGCTTTATGATTATCGATTGACCTCCCATATAAATGTATGGAAAAAGATCGATAGACAGGGTGTTTACACCTCAATAATCGATTCTTTACCATGGCTTCAAATGGAGAAATATCGATAATCGATTAATCACGCCTCGCCACCGATTGCGGTGTGGTGAAGAATGGGGAAAAGATATGGAACCGGAGGGAAGCCTCGAAGGCATACAGCTATCACCGACTGGCCTGACCGTGGAGACAACGATGAAAGTAGGGGAAAGAGGAAAAGAGCAAGAAAATAAACGTGGGATTCCCAATCGCTGATAACTGATAAGTCGTGAATGTAGAGTCGGTGCGAGAGCTATTATTCTGTGGCTACTATAGCGGTGCACTAAAGTGTATGGCGGGTTACGGAAAACTATTTTTCGCAGGAATAACGATCCCGCTTGTACGTGTAGATTTTGCTGATTTTGGAAAGACAACGTAGGAAAAACGAGATCTGCTGTACGGGGGGAGGAATGATGTATTTGCGCTTGTCAATACGAAATTTTCTGACTTCATGTTTAAAATTTGATGCTAATTTTTCATTCACTTACATTAAATAAACCCAAAAGGAAGTATATGATTAAAAGATATTAATATTTATGAACTAAGCAATTATACTCAAAAATAGCCAAAGAAAAAGGGAATAGTGGTAAGTCATATGAAGTTTATAGTAAAATTATAGCAATCATAGGAAAATTACAATTTACAACAACTCAAACTATATTAAAAACCGTAATATTATTTATATTCATAGTTACCCTTAAATAGCGTAATAGCTTAACATTTTAGATACCTAGCAAATAAATTTTTTATTTTCATTTTTTTAAAGGCCCTCCACCTTTTGTATTTTTCCGTGTCCTGTTTTGGTGTCCAGCATCAGCACTTCTTGAAGCTCGCATTTTTGTCGGGCGTCTTTTATATCGGTAGACTGTTTTCGGAAAGTGGTGATTGTTCTCCATGTGATGGCTACGACGGCGGCGGCGAGAGTCGTTACCATGGCCACGTGTACTCCGTGGAGGGTATCGTATGTGTCGTGGTCTGGGTGGGAGGTTGCATGTGTAGAAATTGACGGATTGTCCTCTATGTTAAATTTGATTTTTTTTTACGTCGAATTCATAGGGTGTTTTTGATTTGATTTGGAAACTATTAAATGCACTTAAAAATAGGATTTTATTGTCAACGATGCACATATTGGCGTCATCACTCGTGCAGATGGCTGGTCTGACAATCGGTTGCAAGGAGTCATTTTCACGCTTATTTTTAATATTTGCTTGTTTTTTGTCGTTTAGTATAACCATACACTCATGACTGTAGACGTCTGAGTTTAGGGGCGTCATTTTCGCTGAAATCAAGTCCGATTCAGCACAATAATATGTGTTGTGCTCTCTCCTACAATTCTCTACCGATTGCTGCGAATGTGCAGTCACAAAAATGGGGTTAAAAACCTTAAATCTAGTATCCATTTTTTTTACCCTGAAATTCATGGCCATATTTTGAGTGCTCCTAATTAGAGGCAGGTGAAGGGCTCCTCTAATTATATCTCTCCCTGCTTCAACTTCATGTAAATTGAAGGAAAGTCTTCCGATATGGTAAATTAAGTAGGGTGATTTGACGTATGTGGTGTCATGCAATTCCGGTGATTGCGCAACAAGCTTGTAAAGTTGAGCCGGTGGGAATATTTTACTGGTGACTCTTTCATCTTTTAGTGAGTTTATTAAATCATCAAATTAGTCGTAGAATTTTGACTCTATTATCATTTTTGTGACGTTAGCAGCCGTCATACATGTTTGCTCGCGTACGCCCTGAGACGTGTGAAGAAATTGCCTACGTATCGCCATGAACTCCATTTCTTGCCTTTTATCTTTTACCATCTCGTAATATCACGTAAATACTCCTACGTGAATACTAATCTAAAGGCATCTGAATGTATGGGAAAAACCCACAACATAAAAACTGAAGGTAAGTTTGGCTTTCAGATTTGTGGTGAGCGTTTATGGATGTGGGTAACGGGTTAGGGTAGGAGAATCGCGTTGTTGTTTTTACATTGTCGGATGAAATGTGCCCAGTGCTGGCTGCGAGACAGAGTTTTTAGGTTTCCGACAACGATAAGGAGGCATCTGCTGCGGGTTAAGGCGACGTTTAGTCTGCGGGGGTCTTTTAAGAAACCGAGTTGCATTTTTCGGCCGTTTGGGTGGGGGGACCGCACCGTGCTCAGGAGGATTATTAGGCGCTCCGAGCCCTAGAATTCATCTATTGTGGCTATTTTTATGTTGGGCCACTGGCGGAGGTATGCTTGCAGCAGATTTACTTGGTTGCGGTAAGGGGTGGCGATACCTATGTCGTGTTGCGTTACTGAGTGTCCGTTGAAATGGGAATCTATTATGCCGCGCATGTAGTTGAGTACTACCTATTTGAGCTTCATAAGGGTTGCTGAAACCGTAATTATCCTTTGATTCGACCTCGAGTTCGTTGTGGGGGTCGATTATGATAGGGACGTGCTTGCTCGGCAATTTTCGCCAACCGCAGGCAAGGTTTATGATGTTTTGAGGACCGTGAGCCCGGAGTTCATTGTTGTAAAAAAGTTGGTTGGGGGTGGTCAAAATTGAGGGGTGAGATCTGAAGTTTCTGCTTAATTTTGTAATCATTGTTGGGTTATATTTTTTTGTAATAGGATGTGGTTGGTATGCTGGTAATTTTGCTAAGCGCTCTAACAGAGAAATGCCGTAGCCGATGCGTGAGGCGAGTGCGGATGTTGAGATTGGTCCAAGTTGGGCGGGGTCACCTGCGAGAATGAATTTGGGTTTAACTTTCGTTTGCGATAGTCCCGCAATGGGAACGAGTGAGTCCTGTTCCGTGGCTCGTCCGCATTCATCCATGAATACGTGGTTGAAGTGGCTTGTCAGACCGAAACCTGCTGTAATTAGTTTTCCGGTGCCTGTGAGGGTTGTTGCAATGATGTTATGATTTCTCATTGTTTCGCGTGGGGGTTGCTTGATGTGTCCGTTTCTGTCCAAGAACACGCACGGCTTGATTTCTTTTTTGATGTCCTGCGTGTCCTTGGAGGTAGGGTAGATTCTTAGGATGTCTGTTGGTGGAATGTTTTTTAAGAGTGCGTAAACTAGTGAGTCGACGGCGGCGTTTGAGGGTGAGCAAATGAGGATTTTGGTCGTGTCGTTCTTTGCCCAAATTTGAGTAGCCGCCTCGACAAGGGTGCTACTTTTCCTTGCCCCTGGTGGGCCCCACATTAAATATGGTGCCGCATTAGGGTGTTGGTACAAAATTTTTGTAATTGCATCGGATTGTTCTGGGTTATTGCCCACGTTATGGTTGTACCATTTTGTGACGGCAGGGTGGTCTGAATGAGGTTCTTGTGGGCGTGGTGTGGGAAAAAGGAAATTTGTGATGACCCTGTTTGTTTGGCTTATGGCCCGGTGTGCGGCCTGGAACAGGTATCTGTTTAGGCGCTTCCTGATGTTTACGGTATCTTGCGGGTTGTAGTACATGAAAAAGTCTGGGCTAATCGCTATCTCGACTTGGCGTCCTCTCACACTTTTTACTGATCCAGGGTACGAAGTTGCAGGGTCGTCTGTGAGTGTTACTGCTATTTTATCCCCGGTTGTTAGGCTGAGGATGCCGTGTCCTGCGCTGAGGTCCCTTGCCATGTAAGTGGAGAGGGGTTGGAGGAGCACATTTTTTAGTTCATCCTTTTGTGTGTTTTTCTTGCATCGGACTTCTTCAAGTTGCAAGAGAAATGTTGATTTTTCTCTATATATGGAGGGCCTTAGTCCGAGTGGGTTTTTTTTTATTTGATCTAAGCGTTTTGTATAGCATTGTGCCTCCTCTACGTCACTCAGGTCAAGGTTGGTCATGTCTTGGAGTTTAAAATTGTGATTTATGAGTAAATGGAGCACAGGCGGGATGGAATATGATCCGAGAGCTGTTTTACTGCATTGATCAGCGTTTGCGAGTGAACAGACTTGTGCGTTTCTTGGCTTGGTTTTGAATTCCCTCATGTTCCAAGCTTCGCTCCTAGACCAGGCTCGGCGTTTTCCGCGAACGGCGTGGATGGGGAGATGAAGAGGGGGATGAGGACGCACACGCTTCGTCTTGTTACCACTGGGTCGATGTATCTTTTCAAGCGATCGACTTGTATTTTTCGGATTTTTTTATTTTTTTGGCTGCCAAAATTTACATTATAGATGGAGTCAGTAATTTTACTTTAAACTGTGTAGGGGCCCACTGAATTGAATGAGGCCCAACCAAAAGGTTCTGAGGGAGTTGGTGTTTTTTCGAGAGGCATTTTATTGGGTCCTCTTTCGTATTTATTAGCCATAAAGCTCGCAGTTCTTCACTATATCAGTTACCGTTTTTTTTTTATGTTGGGCCAGTAATATTGATCTCTCTACTCGCTCAGATTTTCTAAGATTCCCCTGTGGTTAGTCATGCTATCATGTACTTGGCTACGTAGGGCAATCTGATCAATTTCATCCTCAATGTCCGTTAGAAATTTGGTGTAACGGACCCAGTTTAAACTATTAAAATTCTGTTGGATTATTGTATGGAAGTGTTGGTAATCCAAGCAATGTTCGAAGTAGACGCCGTATTTTAATGAAGGATAGCAATAGGTTTTGATCGCTTTTACAATAAAAGCATCAGTTTGTTCATTAGGGAGGTACACCGTAACTCGGGTCTTATTAAAGATTTGTATAATTTGTAGCTCAGGGTCGGGGTTATCGCTTCTTTTGTTTTTTATTATTATTTGTCTGGAGCAATAATTTACTGGGGAGCCGACAATGGGAATTTCTACTATTCCGAAATTACTTTGGTTTGAATGAATTGTGTTATTCTCTTCATTATCTGGGTTGTTAGGATTTTCGGGAAATTCTGGTAAATCGGGGTGAATCACTGGTTCTTCATTCTCTTGATTTTCAGGGAGTTCTGGGTGAATCATAAGTTCCTCAGGGTTTGGTCGAAGGGCTATTTCTCCCATTTCTTCTAACACGTCGTCTATGTCGTCTAGCGGATCGTTATCGTCAAATTCAGCAAATAAGGATTGATTATCTAGGTCATAGATGGTTAAAGTATTACAGATCGCGATTGGATTACGTGACAGAGCGTCGGCAGTCGAGTTTGCTTTACCTGGTTCGTAAAATATTTCATAGTCATATTCTTCAAGGCGTAGTTTCCAACGCATCAATTTGGCGTTAGGTTCCTTAAGGTTGAAGAGCCACTTTAACGGTTGGTGTTCTGTAAAAATTTTAAATTTTCGTCCGAAAAAGTAGGGGCGGAACTGAGTTACTCCATAAATAAAAGCCAAACATTCTTTCTCTGTGGTGGACAATCTCCGTTCCGTCTCGTTTAAAGTCCTGGAGGCATAAAATATATGTCTCTCTACGTCATCAAATTTTTGTGAAAGTATGGCTCCCAACCCAAAATTCGACGCGTCTGTCGTGAGGAGGAATTCTTTGCTAAAATCCGGGTAAGCTAATATCGGCTCATTACATAAAAGTTTTTTACATTGTGTAAAATACTCTATGAAATCGTGATCTTCACTATTTATCGTTGCGTCCTTTTTCAATCTAGACGTCAAAGGTTTTGTTACGTCGGCCAGATTAGGTATAAAGCGTCGGTAGTAACTTAATAGACCAAGGAGGGAGTTTATTTCTTTTGCGGTTTTTGTTGTAGGGAAGTTCATTATAGCCTCTATTTTTGCCGGGTTTGGTTTTACTCCGTTTGAGGTTATTATGTGACCTAAATAAGCTACTTCTTTCCGAAAGAATTCACTCTTGTCCAATTGAATTTTCATATGAAACTTTTTTAATATTTGAAACTCTAGTTTGCAGTGTTGTATATGTTCTTGAAGTGAGGAGGAAAATATTAGGATATCATCGAGGTAAACAAGGCAAAAATCATTGATATATCCTCTCAAGATGTTATCCATTACGCGTTAGAAAGTAGGGCGTGCATTTTGTAAGCCGAAGGACATTCTTACAAACTCGAAGTGCCCTTGTTCGATGGAGAAGGCCGTTTTCGGTATGGAATCTTCATCCATTTCTATCTGGTGGAATCCACTAGCTAAATCTAACGATGTAAAGTATTTAGCTCTTCCTAATTTATCTAAGATATCTGAAATATTTGGGATTGGATATTTATCTCCTACCGTCTTATCGTTTACTTTTCGATAGTCAATCACTACTCTCCACTTTCGTTTTCCGCTTGCATCAAGTTTTTTTGGTACAACCCACACAGGCGACGACCAAGGAGAATAGCTAGGTCGTATGATACCTTCTTCTAACATTTTACTAACTTGATTGAAAACTTCTTCTTTAAGTGCATGTGGGTATCTGTAGTTTTTAGTATAACAGGGGATTTTATCTTTTCTTTTAATTTCGTGTTTTATTGTATGACCAAACGTTAAGGGATCCCCTTCTACTGGGATTATTTCTGGGAATTGTTTTATTAGTTTTTCCGTGGCTATTCTCTCTTCTAGGGACATGTGAGAGCTTCTAATTTTTTCGAAGTCTCGTTCATGTTGTTGTAGGAATAATGTGGTTTTCACGTCACTCAAAAGTTCATCTTCAGATATTATTTCCGCATTCAAGTTATGGATGATTAGTTTAGAAGGTTTTTGTGAATTGTTGGTTACTTGGCATTTGACTTTGCCATCTTTTACTGTGACGAGTCCATGGGGAATAGTCACGCTTTCAGAAAACTAAATTTCAGGTAGTAAAGCTGTGCCATTTTGGAGATTATCAATGGGGATCTCTATGACTGTGTCACATAGGGGTTCTACAGTTAACATTAAGTTTCTTATCACTTTGTCTGTTTTTTGTTTCATTTTAAATTTTACACTCCATAATTGTGCTGTACCGTGTTGGTAATCGGTTCTGAAAAAAAAGAGATTTTAGATTGTCATTTCCTAACAAGATATCAAAATCTTCGTGGAATTCAAAGAGGTATAATTTGATTTTCAGGGGTTTACTAAAAGGTTTTTTCAAAATTATGGTAACGCTTTGATTTTCGGTTTTGTTCCCTGTAGCAGTTTTTATTATGAAGTCTTGTTCCTTTTTTATATCTTTTTTGAATAATTCGCGGGCTAGTTTTGGTGAAATAAACGATCGAGTCGATCACGTATCGATCAGCATTTTAAACAGTTTTGTTTCGTAGGGTAGATTTATATAGGGCAGCGTTTCGTCACGAATATTTAGACAGTCTGCATATCCTGAGTTCTCGAGTCTGATGCTTCTTCCCGAAAATTTACGGGTTCGTAATCTTCATTCGTGATTCCCCCGAAATCGTCCTGACTTTCATATTCTTCTTGTTCTACGCTTTCTAATTGATTGACCCTAGTCTGAACAGACATCGGTTCAGGTCCTTTATTACTAGGGTTAAAATTTGAGTTCCGTTAAAAATTGTTACTACGCCTGTTTTGATTCAAATTACGCTGTTGTGTATTCTGCGGAGAATTTGTTTTAGTCGCGAATGGGGGTTTTTGGTTATTGAAAACAGTTTTGTTTTGGGGGTTAGAATTATTTTTATTCTGCCAAGATTAGCCCGAGGAACCGCGGGTGCGTATCTCCACTAAATCGGGTTGCGCAAAGGTAGCTAATAGGGAGTGGGCTTCTTCAAGGGTCTTTGGGTTTCTGGTCTTCAGGAACTGCTTATTAGGTTCCTTCAGTCCATTCATCAGGCGTCTCAAAACTCTTTTGTCTAGGTAGTATTCGGTGACACCTTTTACGATATCTTTATTACTATTACGTTCTAAGAGTAATTTTGCGAGCATCTGATCATAGTGTCGAATTAAACGCTCGTAGAATTGCATTGGAGTTTTGCTAGGTTTCTGGGACATCACGCCTAGCTCCTCAGCCAGAGTAGGTGAATCCCGTTTGTCGTCATCAGCAAGAATCAATGTCTCCCTCAAGGCGGGCCAGGTTTGATAATTGCCTAGTCCTATCTGATGGGCAACCGATCCTTTCAACTTCGCTTCTACATGGAGGAGGAACGGTACCAAGTGGTTGGTGAATCTAGTTACTTCGTATTCCGCGGCTAAGTAGTCTAAGGCTCTCAAGAATCGCGGTAATTGTTCGACTTTTCCATCGAAAGTGGGAACTACTTCAAAATCCTTATTATTAAACTTTTCTTTCTTTAGTGTAGTCATTTTTTCTTCTATTCTCTCTACCAGCTCTTTAATTGAATTGCTATTTTTTCGCACTAGGGCAGTGGTTGTTTGGTATTCTTCAATTAAATCGCGCTCTGGTTGATCGTCAACGTTCATAAACTTATAACTAAAGGATGTTAAAGCAGAATGGCGACATACTTAAACAACTAACCCTAGCAAGTGGATAAGGAGCTTATATCTAAGGAGAGGGCAGAGACACAAAATAAATCCAAAAATGAAGAAGGGAAAAGGGAATAGAAGTCTCAATATTAAAGCTTTACAAGCATACGGATATGATGATCCAGGTACGAAGCATTTTCTTGGAGGTGGTCGGTTCGGTAATGTAACTAAGGCGTTAAAACACGAGATATACACAATGTATATCTGTTAAAATCCAGGAGACTGCGCCAGTTTTAGTTCGTATTAATACGAAATACTTTTTAAAAAATATTTTTATTTGTTCCACAAATGAATTCACTATTACAAAGTTGAATGAATTAAAAT